AACACGCCTGTTCCCATTTTCACTAACCGTCCACACCCATCCCACCACCCCCACCATGTGGAACTCCAGTGGGTAACCGGCAGCACTCAGATTTTCAAACAGGCTCCTAACCCACCCCAGTGGGCGTGGGCGTGCGGCCGTGCTTCGGGGGCCCCCTGCTCGGGCTCATGTCTGCGTGTCACCACGGTTCCAACCTTCTTGATCACTTGGGGCCAGGGCCCATGTTTCCAGGCTGCCCGGGCCACGTGAATGCTCTGGCCGGTCCCGCTTGCCATCACGCAGGGGGCCGGGCCGGGGGTGGGGTGGGGAGGACAACTTGACAAGCTCCCTCAAACTTCCCTAAAGTCCAAATTCCTATCTCTTGGGATGAAACAGTCATGACTTTGTGAAAGTGATGGCTTTTAGGCGAAGACCAAACGGAGCGTTCAACAATGGGAGACGGATTAAGGGAGAAGAAACTTCACCCCCTCCAAGACCTGAGAGTCCAGAGGAGCCGCCGAGGGGGGTGTCGGGAGGGGCAGTGGGACGCGCCCCCCGCCTCCCACTGCCAAGTGGACGCCGGAGTGTGCCCTGGAGACCATCTCTGCCATGGAGCAGTTTGCAATCAGAGAGACGAGTCCATCGCGGGACCGGATTCATAACCTGTTTGCAGAAACTGGCACCTAAGCAGAACCCGGGAGCACGGGCCCGTAGAGGGAGACACCAGAGGCCACGGGTGTTTCACAGAAACGGACTGTGATGTTCTCCTCTGCATGGGAAACCCGAGAGACTGAGGCCAGGAGCTTGACCCATCTACGGCCGAAAACGTGACCTCAGCAAACACCTGTCACCTGGGCGGTTCCGGCGGCCCTGAAAGCTCTTACTGTAGCTCTGGAGCAAGCAGTTCGAAGCTCGCACACGGGAAGGAGACGTAGAGATAAGCGAGGCCGACGTGACCGTGGCCGTCGGAGGCCGCCCTCCGGGGAGCACCGCCCACCGGCCTCCTCTCCCACGCTGGGGCCGTCACGGAGTCCAACACCTCTTCCCATCCCTCTCCCCCCCCCGCCCCCGGTCCTTCTGCTCCAAGGATGTTCCTGGTGTCAGTTCAATGGGGTTGGCATATCAGCGACTCCAGAAAGCATGGGGGGGGGGGTGCGGGTGCAGAGGATCAAGCAGGAGAAGTGAGAGGCCCCGCCCAGCGGATGGCCCAGCGCCTGTGCTCCTGCAGCGGCCTGGCCAGGGAACCTTCCTGCCAGGCCCGCCCAAGTGGGGGGGCCTCCCCGGGGGACGGGGGGACATCAGAAACACCCCCTCACCCTCGTCCTTCCTCCTTCTTCCACACCCACGGGGGCCTGGGACCTGGCTGTTTCCTGGGAGGAAGCACCCAACCGCCCCGGGCAGTCATGGCTTGTATTGGGGACTGGGTAAGTGTCGGGTGGTGGCCCTAAGGACAGCCCTGAGAGCCAGAGGGCGCTCTGAGGGCCACCGTCAGGGCACAGGGCCTGGCGGCGGTGGCGGCGGCCCGCAGCCCCTCCTCACGAGCCCCCTCTTGGCCCTGAGATGAGCACCTCTCTTGGCAGCGCCGGCTCTGAAGCAGCGGCGCCTTCCCGTATTTCTGAAAAGGTGAGTCTGAATCAACAGAGTCAAAGTGAAAAAGCCCGAAGCCCACCCAGAATCACAGGCGGTTCCTTTCCGAGCGGCCGGAAGCCGCTATCCCGGCAGCGCCAAGTGCACGCGTGCCTAACCGGGGTGACGACCGCCCGCCCTGGTCACGCGGAACGAGCCATTCCCGGGGGGGCCCAACACCCCCACAAGCTTCACGACTCCACGTGTCTTTTTATTTTGCAAACGTACATCAACGTCCTCGTTTCGATGGCTGTGGACTCCTCGGCCGTGGGACTGATTTACCCACTACCCTGGTGTAGATGCAGCTATTTCCAAGGAGGGGACCAACTGTGTCCTGGGGCCCACGGACGGCCTCCCACCGGGTCTCTGGGGTTTAAACAACACACACAAACTGAGAAAAAATGCCACGTTTGTACAGCAGGATGCTGGTAACGACGCTGGCCTGCCTGTTTGCAAGTTGCTAACAGTGAATCTTAGAAGCCCTCATCACACAACACAAAATTTTTTGTGACTGTGGTGACGGCTCTTACCCAGACTCCTCGTCGTGACGATCGCAACACACGCAAACCCCGAACCGTCATGCTGTACGCCTGGCACTAGCATCATGTTACGTATCAATTACACGTCAATCAAAATAAATACATAAATACCTAAAAACAATGCCTTTCCTCTCCTCTGACGCACATGGGGGGTTTTCTGTCCAGCGCTGTCTCATTTCTTACCCACTTTATAGGTGCCAGGGAAAGACGGTAAAGGAGCCGACTACGGCATTTAACACACTGCGGAGAACCAGGGGACCGAGCACACCGTCCACCTCGTCCACCGGCTGACGCGAGCGCCCGGCCCAGCGTGCCTAACGTGGAGCTGGTACCCAGGACTCATTTGCCAAACGTGC